GCGCAGGTGTGGGGGAGGGGGAGAACAAAGAAATTATTAAAAAGCTAAGGGGTTTACTTATATAGAGTTGCCAATGAGCAACACAGAGCCAGGAAACTACCTAGGACCATTTAAAAAACAATATGCAAACGTATTAGTTGACTAAAGTGTGGAATACCACACTAGCATTGACCATGGTAATTGAATGTGGAAAATAGTCACCGTATGTCATAGAATGTAATGTCACTTATTTCTCCGTATTTTAACAAATTAGAAATCTCTAAAGGCTTACTTTTTTAAATGTCTAATTTTTTTAAATGTTTCAATATCATTCAAATTTCAGTTGATGAATCTCAATCTCAATTGATGGAATGTCATACTTTAATTGGCAATGTTTTTGTTCTCTTTTCCAGAGTTATGGAAAATAATAATTCATCTTACTATCTGGTGTATTATATTCTATGATATATGGTAAGTAACCAGAAGAGGGTGCAATGTGGCTTGGAAGAAAAGACTACTGAACTTCTTAGACCTTCATCATTTACATCTATCCCCCTGTGGCTATGTACAGACTAGACCATTTTACACCACTGTCCTCAGTGTTTTTTAATAGAGAGAGTTCAATCCTTAATGTCAAAATAGAACTGACTTTTAAAATACTCTGTTATTTATAAGCTCTGTGATATTTAAGTAGTAATTAAACAGTTAAAGGTATAGTTTCCAGGAGATAATAATTTCTTCCTTTTAAAACTATTGCCATAATCAGGGATCATGTATTTAAAGTACTTATTAACCATGATTGCCTCTCATCTTCACCATCACTACCTTCCTCTAAGTACCAGTGCTGCCCTTTACACAAACTAGATACTAAATAAATGTTTAGGAAATAAATGACCCTGTGGTTTTCTACCAAATGCTACTAAAAAAGAAAAATATTGTAGCAGTGGGTTAATGAAAACATGTGAAGGGAAATCAAGAAAAGCAATGCTTTAGATTTAGAAAAGCAGTTGGGACTAGACATAACATATGGGAATCACCAACATAGATCTGGTAGTTGAAGTCACGAAGATGGATGTATCCTCAAGAGAAAATATAGAGAAAAGGGAAGTGGGCTAAAGACAGAATATTGAGTAGTTAGAGACAGAAGAAGAGTAGTCTACTGCAAAGCCTGAGAAAGAGTAGCCAAAGTCAGAGGAGAGGACTCTAACCTAGTGTTTCTCACTCTTGGCACTACTGACATTTGAAGCCAGATTCCTCTTTGTGGTAGGGGCCTGCCCTGTGCATTGTAGAATGTTTAGCAGTATCCCAACATAGGGCAGTAGCACTTCCTCGCCAGCTGTAAAACCAAAAATGTCTCCAGACACTGCCAAATGTCCCCTGGGAGGCAAAATCATCCCCACTGAGAACCATCGGTCTATCCCTAATCCTACAAGCTTGCTCCTTTCCTAGTCTTCTTTATTTCAGTGAATGTCATCCCTTCTACCCAGTTGTACAAGTCAAACCTTATTACAATTTTTTATACCACAGAATATTTCATTATTTTCCAAAGTAAATGAAGTAACATTTTTGCAGTCTTTTCAGATGAGTCTCTCAATCTGTGAAACTAAAGACTTTAAAAGTTGAAATTAAGTTGTTTTATAGCCACTGTTTTAGTAAATTAAGATAAATATTGCCTATTTTAGTAAAATAACAGGAATTAAAAATTATATCAAATCCAGGTATGTTATATTTATGGTAAACATCTGACTTGTGAAAACAGTCCCAACTTAAAGCTGCTGCCATCAACCTGGACTATTTATATCTCAACTGGATTTATTTATTTTTATTTTTAATTGTGGTAAAATACACATAAAATTTTCCATCTTAATCATTTTTAAGTGTACAGTTTAGTAGTTGAGTATATTCACAATGTTGTACTACCGATCTCCAGAATTTTTTCATACTCATTTAACAATGCCTTCCATTTTCCCCCCTCTCTCAGTCCTTGGTAACCACCATTATACTCCCAACTGGATTTTGTTTGTTTATTTTTGTTATACTAAAATGGGAAACTAAAGCCTTTTACAGCTAGGGCTCAAAATGATTTTCCCCATCACCTTTTCCAAGTTAAACTTTTTTTTTTTTAACATTGATGAAATACATGAACATGAATCAGTAAACCAGAAGAGGGCACTGTTAGGCTGAAGAGCTATCAAACCAGATTTTGTAAATTTTATTTTTTTATGTTATGTTAGTCACCATACAGTACATCATTAGTTTTCGATGTAGTGTTCCATGATTCATTGTTTTTGTGTAACATCCAGTGCTCCATGCAGTACGTGCCCTCCTTAATACCCATCACCGGGCTAACCCATCCCCCCACCCCTCTCCCCTCTAAAACCCTCAGTTTGTTTCCTGAAGTCCATAGTCTCTCATGGTTCATCTCCCCCTCCGATTCCCCCCCTTCATTTTTCCCTTCCTTCTCCTAATGTCCTCCATGCTATTCCTTATGTTCCACAAACAAGTGAAACCACATGATAATTGACTTTCTCTGCTTGGCTTATTTCACTTAGCATAATCTCTTCCAGTCCCATCCATGTTGATGTAAAAGTTGGGTATTCATCTTTTCTGATGGCTGAGTAATATTCCATTGTATATATGAACCACATCTT